AATAAAACATTTGAACATTATGCATCTCATTGTGCAGTCCATTTCCAAAAGTCAGAATTCGTGCCTTTCCCAGATGCCAACCCGTACCTGCGTAACGCGAGCCGAACGAACAAAACTTCATCTTCAGGTATTGTACGTGAGGCTCAACGTGAAGCAAATACAGAGAAAAGTAAGGAAAAGTCACAAATATTGCGGCGGGATCCCGCTCTGCAATAGAGCAGCTGGATTCTCTCTTCTTAACTTTCTGAAATAGGAAAAAAAAAAGTTTAGAAATTATGAAAATCAACCGGAAACATGTCGATAAATAGATTGACGGCCTACCTTTAGAAGAGGTAATTAAGAAAGTGAAATGTTCAAGCCTGCTCCCCACCTTTCCCACGCAGTGAATGTGTGCGGTTGGTGACAGGTATACACCTTTTATACCTCCCCGCGCCCCCTCTCCTCTCCGTCCTTCTTTCTCCTCCCCTGGAAGTGGATCCCCGGGGCGCGCGCAGGCACCTGTCGCACGGTGAGTTGCTCTGATCCAATATTGACCCAAAGAGGGAGGGGCATGCATGTGTGTGCGTGTGTGCATGTTACGCTCGCGCACGCGCGCTCAAAATGAATTATTCCGAAGCGCGCGCCCTCCTCCTCTTCTTACTCCGGTGTGCCAGGCAACGACATGTGTGACCTCTGCGCCTGAACTGAGCTGTAAAAAGCCTCATTGTAACGTAGCTACCTGACGACAAGCTCAGGCTGTGCTACACAGCGCCTGCTCGGGAACTATTTTCATACACTTTGGTTTGCAAATAATTGCGAGCTGGAAGACTCACGTTGTTCACAAACTATTTTTTGAAAGAAGGTTTACTCATGGTTGGGTCGAGGGATGGATTTAAGATCACATGGGTGGAAAAAATGCACAAAGAAATATTCATTCATATGTAGCTCTTTGGAAATAATTTCATTTATTAGGGGTGAAAAATGAAAATGATTTAACCCCTATAATCCACACACATTGCTGGCCTTCTTACATTTGTTTTGTCCAACTTTTCAAGCACAGTCACTTTATCATTGCTTTAACCTTTAGAATGAAGGAACTGAATAGAAACTCTGACATGAAGAACTCTAAAACGGCTCACAATACTCTGATTTTAGGCAGAACCCCAGGAATTTATACTGAAAAAGTAATGCAACTGCTTTTGGCATTTACTTAATAATATTTGGTTACTTTAACACAATTGTTTTATGTCCTACCCTGCTAACATGAAAAAATTGTGTTAGAGTAACTAAATATTGAAAATTTTGAATCAATCTGACTTTATGATCGAGTTTAACTGTAAAGTGCCTTGAGATGACTTGTGTTGTTAATTGGCATGAATTGAATTGAATTAAATATGGTTAAATGAACCTTAAAGCAAATTATGGGACCTTAAAGCAAATAAAAAAAACTGTTTTAAAGGTGCAGAGGGTCATTTTAAAAAGATGTATGTCAAAAATTTAGCTAAAACTGTCCCGCTATCCTAAAAACAACATATAGCAACAAATAAGAGAGATATTCTTGGAAAAAGATCAAACACCTCTGCCTCCTCCCAGTCTTTCTGCCTTTAACAGAAATACCTGACTCCTGGTCAGAAATAGCCAATTAGAGAAAGAACTCCGCTGACACTGAGACAGAAAGGAAACTTTGTAAATTATCTGTACTGTTACATTGTATTTTAAACTAAAGAAAACATTTCAGAATAATAACCTTATACCTTTATTCAAATATTGCATTAGTAGTATGATGATGCAGGGCACCGTTGCTGCACCAGGACCTTGGCAATTTGCTGTAGTCGATAGACTCATGAATTTATCCCTGGTCTAAGAAGCCAAATGTTGCAGGGGTGGGGGAGGGTGGCATTCAGTCCCCGCTGACTGACTGGACATGCAAATACGCTTCGGGAAACTGAGTCAGTGCACAACAGACAGAATCATCTGTTTGTTACATCCCTTGAATAAAGTTACCAAGAGCATGGAGCCAACTCACCAACATCAAAAAGCTGCTTATACCTTTGTACAGCAACACAGATGCTTAAAACTTGAATTGAGGGCTTGTTACCTCTTTAAACTCAACAGGAATGCTAAAAGAAATTTTTATGTTATTACTAATGTTGTGCATGGATCAAAAGAAAAACAATATTCCTAATTTTTTTTTTTTTATATATTTGCAAAAAGAGTTTTAATCTGACAGCTGAGAAACAAAACACTGAACAGGCTTGTCAGCTGCAAGCTTACAATTCTGCCTTTAACCTATGGCTTAATGGGCTTTTCTTAATGAGACAAATGTATCAAGCTACAGAGTAAATACGCCCCAAGGTATTGTTTTAATTAGATTATCTACTAAGAGGTTATTATATGTGAAACAATAGGAATCAAATTTAAATGATACATGCAAGGGGAATACGAAGCTAATGAAAATATATACTAATATATGAAATGTAGGCAAAAATTAACGGTTTGAAAGTATGTTTCTCATTATTATTATTATGATGTGCCTTGCAGAAGTGAGCATAACCTCTGAGCCTTTCACGATGTTGTCAAACTACATCCAAAAACCTGAATAAAGCTATTGGGGAATGACTGGTTTTCAGTTTTAAATTCTCTCAGCCCTCCTAGAACATTAACCCTCAGAAACCCCCTCAGTCCAGCATCTGGCTTTTTTAAGCCTCAAATTTTCTTTTAGGATTTCCCTGTATTTAACTCCGCCCTTTTTCTGATAAACTCTAACCCGCTTGCTTGTCCATTAAAGAGAACCATACCCACAGCTTGATGTTAAAATTGGGGTTTTTTGCCAGCATTTTCAGTTAGGTTTTCCTTAAAGTGCTGAAAAGAAAGAGCTGCCCTATGAAACCAAGTTACTGCAGTTTTATAGTTACTGTGTTAATGAGTAAAAGAAAACATTTGAAATCAAATGCTTTCTTTTACTATATTCCCCTGTGGAATATAGTACCTCCAGGTGTCTTTAAAACTCCTAAAGGATCATTACTGGGCAGATAAGAGTCTTGCTTCTGTTCACATAAAAGTCCCTTTTGATTTAGAAAGAAACTACACCTGTTTGACCGCCAAAGGTGTGGAAGGAGAAAATATTTGCTCTATGTTAAAACCTCTCAACTCTGGATAAAATGCAGAAAAAGAGCAGGATAAGTGGAATAGCATCTGCTGGATAGATTAGTCTGAATCCGAATGTGTGAAAAGGGTATATTTGTATTGAAGAAAACTCAACCGTTTAGGAAAAGATATCCTACTAACTGAAGCAATGAGCTGGAAAATTCATTAAGATACTTTCTTCATCACAGCAATACCAGCTCACAATCATAGTCCATCATTAAATCTGTGGTGTTGCAGGCTGTGCTTGAGAAAAAAAGCTACAGTAGAAGAAAGTCCTGCAACTCTAGAATCCAACACATACCTGTTAACCCACCAAGGACTGGATGAGACGTAGTGAAGTGCAGTAAAAGCTTTGATCTTTTTGCTTTTTAGATTCTGAGCAGTGATTTGAAACCGGTTGAATCTGAAAGAAAACTTTAAAACACCACAGAGGTGATGAGTCTAACCAAATTTTTCCTGTTATCAGAAACTGGTGGATGGCTACAAGAAGCATGTCACAGAGGTCAGTGTATTTGATCCAAAGTTCCAATTTTAAATAAATCCTCAACAGTGTCACCAGCAAAGCACCCCCACACCATCACACCTCCTCCTCCATGCTTCACGGTGGGAACCAGGCATAGGGTCCATACTTTCACCTTTTTTGCATTGCACAAAGACACAATGGTTTGAACCAAAGATCTCAAATTTGGACTCATCAGACCAAAGCACAGATTTCCACTGGTCTAATGTCTATTCCTTGTGTTCTTTAGCCCAAGCAAGTCTCTTCTGCTTGTTTCCTGTCCTTAGCACTGGTTCCTAGCAGCTATTCTACCATGAAGGCCTGATTCACACAGTTGTTCTAGAGATGCGTCTGCTGCTAGAACTCTGTGTGGCATTGACCTGGTCTCTAATCTGAGCTGCTGTTAACCTGCGATTTCTGAGGCTGGTGACTCTAATGAACTTATCCTCTGCAGCAGAGGTGACTCTTGGTCTTCCTTTCCTGGGGCCGTCCTCATGTGAGCCAGTTTCTTTGTAGCTCTTGATGGTTTTTGCAACTGCACTTGGGGACACTTTCAAAGTTTTGCCAATTTTTCAGACTGACTGACCTTAATTTCTTAACATAATGATGGCCACTCATTTTAATTTACTGTACTTAGAATTTGCGCTATGGCAAAAAACCAAAACAAAATTAAAGCCAACAGTGTATTCAGTAGGACTATCAGCTGTGTATCCACCTGACTTCTACACAACACAACTGATGCTCCCAAGCCCATTTATAGACAAGACATCCCACTTATTAAACCTGACAGGAGACACCTGTGAAGTGAAAACCATTTCAGGCGACTACCTCTAGAAGCTCATCAAGAGAATGCCGAAAGTGTGCGAAGCAGCAATCAAAGCAAAAGGTGGCTATGATGAACCTAGAATATATGACATATTTCTTAGTTTTTATTCCTTCAGTGTGAATCTACAATTTTCATAGTCATGAAAATAAAGAAAACTCTTTGAAAGAGGTGTGTCCAAACTTTGTGCTTTATATTTGACAAAATAGTTTTCTGCAGATGTCAAACCTGGTTATGACCCAGGTAAACATCTTAAAGGCATGATCTCACCTTTTTCAGGTAAAGCTCAGTGTTTAGACAAAAAGATAAACCAACTCTGAAGTTTTACAAATGCCAAGCAAAAACTAGTTTGCGTTTCCCACTGATCATCTCCTTGAATGCTCCCCCAGAACAAAACGTTGGCCAACTCTTTTTTTTTGTATTTTTACTTTAGTACCGGTAATCAGACATAAACATAAAAAAAATGCTTACGCATGTCATATCACAACCATCATAGTGGAGTTCATACCATTGTTTTAATTTAGAATGAAAACAAGAAGTCACTCTGGTTGCTTATTTTTCAAAATCAAAATTTTTATCTTTTAGGAAATCAGATTCAGGAATTACAGCACTGAAAGCCAGAAAATACTCCAGGCTTAGAAAAAACTTAGAAGCATATTGCATACATTTCTGTATGAGTAGGAACATGATTCCAGGAAATACAACAGATCTAACACCATTAGCATGAATACAACATTTTATCAAGTAAACAGTTTTTACCGTCTCTGCTAAACACTTAGATCAGGCCACAAGTCATGTGTACTGCCTAATTTTTTTGTTACAAAGAAAGGACGGCAAACATTGATCCTCAGTACAGTAATAAATCAAGTTTTGTTCCCTTTTGCTCGTCATTCAGCATTACCAGCAGTTTCATGTTGCAAAACTGTCATAAAAGACGTCAAATAAAAAATAAAAAACCCCAATGTCAAGCAGGCAAACACTGATAAAGTTGGTCACATGTTTTATGAGTTCTTAAAGCTTTTTGATGCTAATGAAGAAAACAAAGGAATATCTCTGTAATCACATACAAGAACAAATGTTAATACTTTTCAAGTTGGAGTAAAGAAAAGTAGATCTATTTATGATACATTTTAGAGCACCATAGAACTGATAACTATCAGTATGCTCTTTTATTATTGCCCAAATTCAAATCACCATATCGATATATTTGTAAAACTCAGTAACCCTTTGCAGTATTTCAGGATAAATCTACAAAATACAGGGTAGTATTGAAAAATGACAAAAGGAGGTCTTCACCAAACAGATGACATGTAGTGACGCCACATTTCATCAGCCAGAAACTGAATCTTTTTCTCTGAATTTGGCGGATTAAATACTAGTTTTTCTGGTAACCGAATGCTCCAATCAATTTATGTCTATAAACATATTAACCTGCAGAACGTATAGTGATGCACTATGAGGGATGTCTGCTTTGATGCATACAGTGAGCAAAGATGACTTAACTCAGGCCATCCAGATGGCCTTTATGAGGCAATGTGGAGTATAGTTCTCTCAAATAAAACAGGAAGTAGTTATTGAAAGGAAAAGCCTGATCTGTGATCTCCCTTTAATATGTAATGACTGTAACTGTGGTCCATCAGGAAGAACAAAGCACTTTCCCCTTAATTATTTAAGGCCTGCTTTTGATAGAAGAAATTAAATTCAAAACACAACTAAGTGTTTAAATGAGACAGCTGGATGTGAACTGATAACATCTTTACAGGTACCATGTGTTACTCATTTCTAGTGGCCAGAAAGTCCCTGAATGTTTGCTTTCCTCCCACAGAGGCTCTTGGCGGTCGTTCAGCACTTCTACTCCTGAACGTTTTACTGAGCAATCTGACCCGATCTCCGCATGTAAGCGTCCCAGCCTGACTTTCGGTACGACTCGGCAGCTTCAAGCCTATCAGATGCCTCCAAAATGCCTCGTCCTACAATGATGATGTCAGAGCCTTTGTTGTAGATCACCTCCTCAGGGGTTGTGTACTGCTGGCCCAACAAATCTCCTGGAAGAAAAGAAAAGACAGGTGGATCAGAAAAGCTGTAAATGAGGAAGGGAGGTGGATTAAATGTAGAACAACCGCACCACCTTGTGTTGGATTGTGTCATTACAGCTCTCATCTTATGGTAGCACAAATTAAAATGAAAGCCTCATTATTTACAGCTAATTAATTAAACTTATTCAGAGTTGAAACTAAGATTTCAAAATTTGTCTTAGATTGTTTAGAAAGGTACAACGAAAAGTGCATTGCACCACTGAGAATCTGTTTGCTTTTAAATTTATATAGCGAGAAATAAGCAAATTTCTAATATAATTAGGATGATTTCGAAGAATATGTTTAAATACTACTTTTTATAGTTTTCATTTACTACTAAGTTTAGAACTTATCTTATGTATTTAGGAAATATCCAATTTCTTGGCATTTGTAATAGATTAAAATAAAAAAGTTCATCCATTTCACACAAAAACAGATAAAGATTTATTTAAGATTCTTTATCGTCTGTAAAACAAAAGGAAAAAAACACATTTCAATTTCACAACAAAGAAGGATGACTTGCAACATGCAACCTGTTGAACCGCAAATCTTAAATCCTTAGAAAAGCAGGTAACAGGCATGATGTTTACCTCCAGCCTGTATCTGCACACCAGGGGTCATGTGGATAAATTCCGGTTTTTCAACCAGCTTTGAGCTGCAGATGAACCCGATCACAAAGTCTGAGTGCTCCTCTGCCATTTTTACCTGCAGAAAAAAACAAACACAAAGCTGCAGTAAAACCCTCAGGGTCGTATTGCAAGATAAATTCCCCAGTAGAAGCGTTCTTACCACAGCCTTTGTGTATTCACCAGTAGCCAGAGATCCTTGGGAGCTCATCTGTGCAATAAGCAAACAGCCTCGCCCCAGAGGCTTCCCCACAGCGCTGAGGCCCTTCACGACCCCGGGCCCCGGCACAGCGTGGGCGTTCACAATATGAGACCAAGACGAGATCCTGAACACACCGCCTGGAGAACAAGACGCAACGTCAATTTAACCACAAACATCCAATTCAACAGGGAACTTTTTTAAATTTTAACATTTACTTCACCCTCATACTGATGCTTCACTGTATTTCCAATATCTGCAAACTTGCGATCTTCAAATATGAGGAAGTTGTGTTTCTCAGCCACGGCTTGGAGCTTCTGACTGAACTCCTCTGTGAAATCCTGATGACACACAAAAAAACTGTGAGTTTAAATGTTTTTGTACACTTTGCTAAGTAACAAAGAGCTTTTCTTCTACCTTCAGGATGTCGCAGTGAGTCTTCAACATGCAGATCTTTGGACCAAGACACTCAGCCAGCTGGAGAAGCTCCATGCTGCTTGTCACGTCAGCAGAAAGGCAAAGATTCGATTGCTTCTCCTCCATGATCTTAAGCAGCTTGGAGGCCAGCGGGTTGATTTCTGCAGGCAAACTGGTTTTAGTACCACATGTCAAAGCCAATTCATTTAATAAAAGTATATAACATACTTGGTAGCTCAGATCTCTCTGCGTAAGTTAAACCTGGCTTTGGTTGTACACACAGCTTCTTGGGAGCTGGAACATGACTGCCGTTTGTTTTCTTGGGACTGAAACAGACAGTTAACAAAAAGTAAACACTGTCCTTTGCAAATGCATTTTTTGTTTTCATATTCCATCATTTAAAAAGCGTAAGTTTCAGTTTATTTATTGTGGCTTTATGTGACAGACCAACAACTAAAAGAAGTCTTTAACTGTAAAGTGGAAGGTACCGTAGTTATTAATGCTCATCTGATGCGGCCCTGGTGCTTCACCTTTAAATGTCTGCATTAAATTCCCTTAAATATGGATTATTGCTACCATTCATTGCCGATTTTGCAGATTTCATGAACCAGAACTTCATGAAGCCAGAACTACAAATTAAGAAATAAACATAAATTAGGGCCCAGTATCTAAAAAATCTAGACATGTTTAAGACTTTTAAGGCCTAATGTTAGAATTATGAAAAGTAGAAGGTAATGTTTCAGATCTGATAGACTATATGAAATCGTAAAAAAACAAAACCATTTGCTGTACCTGAAGGTGTTGTTCTCCAGGATGAACTTGCCTACATTCTGGGCTGTTTGGGCGTCGATGCGTTCGGCAGCAAGCAGCACATCCAGCAGCTTAAACATGGAGATGACTGGCAGGAGCCGAATACCCCGAGATGCCAACATCTCCACCCCTCCTTGCTCTCTATCCATCAGCACAATGGCATCCGTCACCTTGGACACGTAGAATGGAAAATAGTCCATAAATATCAAAGAACTCCTTATCTCAATATCTTAAATATTCTAAACATCAACGGCCATTCACCTTCAGCCCTTCCCTGTTTAGCACCTCTGCTGTCTCCAGGATGCTGCTGCCACTGGTCACTGTATCCTCAATGATTAAACACGTATCGCCCTCTTGAAATGACCCCTCCACCATCTTCTTGGTTCCTACAGGAATAGATAAACCAAGCTCATAAGAAAAGGTTCAATTCCCGGCCTGGGGTCTTTCTGCATGGAGTTAGCATGTTCTCCCTGAGCATGCGTGGGTTCTCTCCGGGTACTCCAGCTTCCCCCCACAGTCCAAAAACATGAGTACTAGCTTAACTGGCTTCTCTAAATTCTCCTTAGGTGTGAGTGTGTGTGTGAATTAGGGGTGGAACGATACAAAAAAACGGTATGGACCCTAGGGTTCGGTACGTTTTTGGTACTGTGCAGAAAAAAACAAGACCAAAAGGCTATCCTCAACACATTTGAATCGTCCCGTATTTGTTTTGTCAACCACTCGCTCTCCATCGCTATTATAACTCAGAGGGAACCCGAAGTTATCCCACACCACTGACTTGAATGATAATGGTAGGTCTTCTAATTCTTCGCCACTCGCCATCGTTAGCACTCTTTCGCAGCAACAGCGGCACCTTCCCACAGAGTGCAGTTTGTATTTCAAGGTGGCGTTTACCATCTAGACCAATCCAGGCATGTCTATATGTCTACGGACCAATCAGAGCTTCCAGGTGGTAGTGGTTAAATGGGTCCTCAAGGAAACTCTTGCAAAATAACAGTTCCGCGTCCAGATCCATATTAAACTTCTGTACCGTGTGTATTCTGCGTGGCAATGCGCGTGCCGAACCGTGACTCCATGTACCGTGATGGTTCGGTACGAATACATATACCGTGCCTGCCCTAGTGTGAATGGTTCTTTGTCCCATATGTCTCCGTGTTGCCCTTCGATGGAATAGCGACTTGTCCAGGGCGTACCCCGCCTCTCGCCTGTAGACAGCTGGAGATAGGCACCAGCGCCTCTCGCTACCCTGCTTGGGATAAGCGTGACGAAAATGGATGGATGGAAGGTCATTAGAAAATTTGGTCCACTTCTCTGTCTTGATATCTAGCAAAACTAATAAAAAGTAACTCTGCCTAGTTGATTAGAAACAACCCAGACGCACTGCTTTTTGAAAGCTTGATAAAAGTCAGACAGACTCACCATAATCCTTGGCCTCTTTCCTCCTGATGAGCATGGGGAGTTCATTTCTGGAGCAGATAATTGTGGCCAGAGGGAGGGCCGTGTAAGGAACCCCACACACAGAGTTAAACTGAAGTTTCTCCTCTTGCACTCGCTGGTAGATGAGGCTGGAAACCTGTGAGAAAAAGCAGAAAAAAAGGGTTTGGTTGCTTTTCACTGAAGCTTCATCTTCCAATTCCTTGATCTGCAAACATATGTCTGACTTCAGTTTTTAGCTTTAAAGAAAATGTAGCTGCTACCTCCCTCCGCAGGCAAAACGCAAACTATGTTGAATAAGTGCCGTTTATTGCACGTTTTGAGAACTATAACCTGAGAAGGAGGTAATATGTCACACACATTCAGCATTAGCTACAGCTACTTTGGTAGCCTGGTCACACATTTCCATTATGTAGAGGAATAGTTCTTTAACGCAACTGAGATCTGTTTCCTAGTGAAAGAGATTTAAATGTAGCTCTCAGAAAATAAATTCCCTCAGTGTCTAATTAGGGGGACCATGTTTGTCCCCTTCCCTGCCTTCAGGACATTTGCACTGCAGAAGCAGAACAAACTGAACATCTAAATTAAAGAAAAAGAAGATCAAGTCGTTTTTTTTTCTTCTACTTATAACCCTGGCCCATCTTTGATCTGAACTTAGGTTTGGGGCCTAAATAGTAGCTGTCATAGCCTTTGAACCTTAGTGCTGGAGGTCACTTCAGTGTTTAGACAGCCACACTTCTTCCTACCTCCTATTAGGGCGAGTTATCCCTGTGAAACAGTTGCCATAACAAAGTGAAGGTATTTGGATTAAATGACAAAGTATACACTCACCAGAGAAGGTAATTAGTTCACATCTCCTGTGCTGGCCAACACACCATTTTGCTTTAACAGCTGCTTTAAATCATTATGGCATAGATTCAACAAGGTATCAGAAAGACCTTTTGGTCCATACAGACTTCACAGCACTATGTATAGTTGATGATCCATTGTTACACCAAAGGAACTCTATTGGACTGGGATCTGAGAGTTTGCAGCACACCTTCAGGAGTCTACGGAGATCAGGCCGCAATGGGTCTGCTCTGCTTGAAAAGAAACCATTAGGTCGGTGGTCATAACTTTCCGTTTGAATGCATGGCACCTCCACATCACTGAAGCTTCCTCTTTTGTAGCATTGATGTAAATCACACAATATGCTGTTCAATATGCTGCATAAACTATGTAATTTAATTCAATGCACATATTTTCATTTAAGCAATATACGGTACCCATTAACAACTCTTCAATTTTAGTGCCTTAAAGAGAAGATGTATTCTGGTGAGCAAATCTAATCTGCACTCCTACAGATTTTTTTTTATACAAATATTTGCATAATAATTGCATTTATAGTTAAACAATCACTAGCAACCATTTCAAATGCACACCATATTAAAACAAACATATCAGATCAGAACCTGAAAGAGGACAAATTACATTGCTTTCTGTTTCTGAGTAAGAAATGCAAATAGGGACAATTTACCATGAAGAAGCAGCTCAGGAAATTCAATTCAATTTCAGTTCATTCTATTTAATTTAACAGGTTCACAACACATCATCTCAAGGCATTTTACTGAGACGATTCAATCAGGTCAGACAGTCTGATTGGTAAACAGTTTCTATCTGAGGGAACAGATTGCATCAAAATGATTTTGCAGGATGAGCATGTGGCAACAGTGGTGATTGGCTTCCATTGTGTTGGTGACTCTGCATCAATCCCTCACACCGAGCATGCATGTGGTGAATGTAGAGAGGAAAAACTCAACTGAAAAACTCAGCTTTTTTGTCAGTTCTTAGGTTGGAAATTCACTGGTATGTTGTGTTTCAAGGAAACTCCTGACTCCTGAATTACAACGTTTTTGTGTCTCCATTTTCTCCTCTGTTACATTTAGTCTTGTTCTTCCTGATAGCTTTGGCCAACTTAACCAACGCCCAGTTTGAATAACCATGTGCTTCAGGAGACTTCCCAACATGTTTGGGTTATTTCAATTTCTCCTCTGCAATTGAGTGAATATGACCCGCCCTGTAACTCAAGCGTTTGGATAGCAGAAAGTTTCTGTTCCAGAAAGTGATGAGTCAAAATGGTCGCTCTGTACATGTAGGTATCCGGTAAACCTCAGCATTAAGACTTCCATTGTCTCAATGTGCAGAGGACAGTCCAGTAAGAGCAACATGTTGTTCTTGGAATCTTTTCTAGTGAACTGTTTGGTGAATTCTTCAAGTTATTGGGTTTGGATTTTGATCCAGATGTCATCCACGTATCTGAACCAATGAGTTGGTTGTGTTTGTTGAGATCTCTGCTCTCCACCTCCTCCATATAGATATCAGAAACAATGGGTGAAATAGGGAAGCCCATGGCGCACAAGTGTTTCACTGTATGTGGTTGATAGGTTGGGTGTTACCAACCAATGGAGCCAAAATTGTTGCAAGATGTTTTGCAACAGTGTGTAACTGAATCAATTCTACTGACAATGGGCCTGAGGGGGACCTCGTCCTTGTGTGTTATCAAAAGACCATATATGCATGGTATGGCCTCCCCCAGATACATCGTATAATAGAGAGAGCACAACTGATGGCTTTCTCTCTTGAGATATTCCGCTATTTTCATTTTGTAGATGTTTTTTGAGTCCCTTTTCAGGGGCTCGTAATTGTTTCTGACCATCAGTAGATGCATTATTTTCTCATGGTAGTCAGTTGTGTTGAGCAACACTGTGCATCTACCTTTGTCTGCTGGCCAAATGGTGATGTTATGATGGTCTTTGCCAGGAGAGGTAACCGCCATGCTTTCCTGTTTGGTGATGTGTGCAATTTCACACTAACAAGTGTTGCTGCTACCTTCAACCTAAATTCTTCAGCTTCTGCCATGTTGTCATTTCTGGAAGTTGCTTAGGAGTTACAGGAAAATTGAGACCCTTGGACAGAATATTTAGTTGTGACGGGGTGAGCTCTCTATTCGAAAGATTTTTTTAAGCAACTGGCTCTGGGTGATTTGGTGTGAATTGTCCAATATTGTTCTCTGCACACTATGGTGGTAACAGAGGTGTCCTTCATTTTATACAGGGGCCTACTGAGGTTTTAAGGAGACAGAAGTAGACACACAAAATGAACATAGACGTACTGAGCAATAAATACTTTCTATGTTACAAAGGTTAACAGAAAGCTAGCTACATAGATGGATCTATATAAGAAAATAAATCAGCCAAGCATAGCACCCATTGCCATGTTGAGGAGTGAAATGGGAACAAACACTAAAAAAATAAACAGGCCAACTCCACGAAGCATAAACTATACGAAGTCAGAAGCTGAAAAAAAAAAACAAATACTACAGAACAGAAAGTGATGTAAAAAAAAAAAAAAAAATGTCCCCAGGTCTTCCTGCAGCCTAAGCCCATATCAGCACAACTACAACCTCCACCAGTGGGGAAATCCCAAGCCCAGTATTAAAAGTGACAGGACCAAACCCCTCAGTGGACTCCACAGGAAATCCATAAGAAACTCTGGAAAATATTTAAGACAAAGGTGAAACCAGACATTTATTGAAAAATCAATCTTAAGTGGACTTTCGAGTCCACGTGTACAATAACCACTGCAAATAAAGACTAATTACAGTTTTAAAGGCTTGTATCACAGGGAACCAAAGCTATTGGACTTTATTGCTGTTTATATCATATATTAAGCGCTTCAAAACAAGCATGCACTGTGCTTCAGAAGAGGAAGACACGTGTTTACCTGATTCATCAAAGCAGGGTGGGAAACCAGAACCCTCAGGTCGATATAAATCGGTGTCAGCAACCCGCTCTTCAGCTTGTATTCTCCAAACTTTACCGCGTTCACATCATGAAGCTTCAGAATTAAACCGTCGACAGAAACATTCGCCATTTGGATGCGGATAAGGGTCACTTTCAACAAACTTCAACCAGCAAGCCACCCTCCTCTTCAGGAAACACCGATCAAACAACTTCCGTGTCATTCTTTCAAAATAAATGGCAAGTAGTATTGACGGTTTGAATAGTATGCATTTAGTTTAAAATGTACCAGGAAACATATTTCAATTTGTACATCTCAGGTTTCTTATGTTAGCAAGCTGGATATGTGATAACCCCCTAAATTCAAGTGAAAATAAATAGTAAACTGTGTTGGAAGCAACATTTAGTTTGCAAAGCACGTCAAGGTGTTCGTCTTATTCTGAAATTTCCTCCCCTGGTAACCATGGTAACCAATCCCCGCTTAGATCCACAGTTAGACCTCCATGTTGGTCAGGTAAAGATTGAAGAGGAATCTAACTTCCTATCATATATTATATATGATATATTTGCTCCTTTATACTATATAAATAAATAAATAAATAAATAAATAAATAAATAAATAAATAAATGTATATATATCAGGGAACAATTTCCTGCGTGGCTGAAATATTTACCTCAGAGGAGTGGCTGGGCTCAGCAATTAACAGAAAAACTGCTGATGAGAACAAATGTCAGTAGGTCAAAGACCTTGTTTGCTTGATGCATTGATGGATTTCTCTACAAAATGGAAAAGTCCTTGTTCTAAAGTCCCTCTAAACTATTTTCTCCAAATACAAATCATTTTAGTGTTGTTTAAGTTGATTTTACAAATATAATATTGAGAATATTTTGTTTAAAAAAAAAATTACTTACATTCTATGCCCTGTCACTTTGTCTAATCCTTGTGTTAAGAGCCTGCAAAAAAATTTAAAAATCTTGCTTAACAATTGACATGTACAGTTTTAATCTGTTACTTTCTTTGATATCATCTTTTTTGCTTTGCAATCCCATTTTGGATTGATCAAAAGTTGGAAACCACCTGAAAATTCAAAACTATTGCCCTACTATAATTATAACAAAACAAGATAAGAGCAACATGAACCAAAGGCCAGGATGGTTCTTGTGAGACCCACAGGGTAGGAACCCTCTTTTCTGCCCCTTCTGCCAAGGTGGCATTCTTGTGTTTAACAGCTATTGATGGTTTTCCCCCTTCTTTTTTTTTCTTACTATTTTTTCCCATCAGAACTTCAAAGCAGGCAATAAACTCCTTAATATGATCTAGTCAGACACCATTTAAATGTTATTGTATACAGGGGGGAGTGGTTGCCTAGTGGTTAATCAAAGCACACCATCTTTGGCTGCAAGTACTAGGTTTAAACACCATAGAGTACCACTCTCCCTTAGGAGACCCTTCAGCCCCAGATTGCTCCCTGGGTGCTGCCAACTGCGTTCTAAGGGATGGATCATGAGCAGAAGACAAGCTGCTTTGTCATTTATGTTTGCAATAACAAAGTGGATTATCGTTGTCCAAATATTAAGAGTTTAAACCTTTAAGATACTATATTTTCTTATTTTGAATGCTTAATTTTTAACTCCAAACATGTTGTACCTTTTCTTTAAAACTGCAGAGTAGAAAGTGTTTTTTTTCAGCCAATTTATTCAAATAATCATAATCAGTTTTATATACAAAACCATTGATTGTATGTTTATTTTTAATGATTAATCCATTTTTTTCATAAATAAAAATCCTTGATTCTTTATGTGAAATGATAATAATGGACAATTGTTTAACAAATGTGACAACTTAAGATATAGTTTAAGACTGATCAAGACTGTTACTATATACTGTAATACTCACATGATGTACATTGTATTTATCTGTACTTTGCAGAGACTAATAACTTGCTAAATATGACAAGAGCCTTATTTCCTTTTGAATTTATTAAAAAGATTCCATCCACAGTAGTTCAGTCTGGCAACAACATTTTCAAAAAAAAAAAAAAAAAAAAAAAAATACAGTTCATAAAAATAAAGTTTACACCCCAAAAACAGCACTGAGCAAAATACCTAAGTGAAGAGGGATAAATAGAAGTCAAAACTTAAAAAATACAAAAATGTTACCTAACCTAATTCCATCTGAAAATATTGCAAATTGATCAACTTTTAAACTTTTTGGTCAGGAAGCTTTGAGTTTTAGAATCGTTCGAAAAGACTTTGTTTTCCTACGTTAGAAAATACAAACTAGAATCTACAGATGATGCCTACATCTGCCGAATTAAAATAAAAATGTACACAGTAGAAACGGCTGGTAAATACCACATCAAATGCAACAGTGCTTATTTCTTTAAAAGGAAGCTTTGTAGTGTTCACTTTTTCTTTTTATTTAAAAACAGAGAAGGCAAACTAATCTTAAAGCTGCTCACTGCTAAAACAGCACACTGACCACAGAACAGAAAAATGAGAAACCTGAAAGAAACAAAAAAATACTTTATGGCTTTCATTGAATAAATATTCCTTTGCTTTGGAAATATTTAAGAAATTAAAAAAATGGTGCATTCTTCTGAATACAAATTGCCTTTGGTGACACAAAACAAATAAAAGCAATTGCTCAAATATTAAAATATTTTGTTCCCAGTTTTAACTGATTTCCAACTATTATTTTTTATTAAAGGAGGAAAAAATACATAAAAATGTGTTTAAAAAATCCCCCCAACCCCCTTGTGTAGCTGTGTGCAGAACAGTATGATTGGTGAATGCATGTTTAAGGTGACGCTGCAGGAGGATTTGTGCTATAAGAAAAAAAAATAGTTTGAAAATTGTCCACTGAAAAAAAAGAAAGTTTTCTCTTTTTTTGCCAAAAATAAGAGAATCAAAACTCTCTCTATATGTTTGATAAGGCACAGAGTTCATTAAGGCACTAAATGTAGGTGCGGTGACATATTTAAGGCACAAATGTGATGGAAATGTCCGGTTTTGAAGCTCCAGGAGGAAACGTCCTTCTTGAAGTGATGAAATAATTTCAATATTCCTCCTTCCTTTCACTCCTCTTCTACTCTAAGTTGCTCTGAGCATCTGCTAGCAGCTCTGGATCTAAACATTCAACCGGACACTGGATGTTCTGAAAGAAAATAAAAATAATTAGATGGTAAGTTTTAATCTTTTCAGGAATAAGAGACCAAAAAAAAATGTAAAGCAGCAAAGCTAAATTTTCTGCTGCCAAATTTTTACAATATTTTATTGTCATTCTGTATACACACAGTTTATACAAAGCAAAATATTTTATTAGTCTTTAGTCTTTTGAAAAATACCCCAAAACAAAAAATTAGTTTCCTATTAATTTTATCAAATTATTGAAATTCTTAAATTCAAAAACTCTATCTTATTCTCACCAGTTTACGTAGAGCATTTTCTCTGTAGCGTTGGAAGGCATCTAAGCCACCAGGCTGCAAAACCTCAGCTTCCACGTTGGTTTGTCCTCCAGGCCTTCTGCAGTTCTCGCATCGCCAACCCTTTACCAGGAGTCAAAGAACACACATTAAATACTCAAGTAAAAACTACCTAAACATCAAACACAAATTTCACACTAAAATTAAATAAACATAAACATTTTAAAGGGTGTTAATGTATCTACCTCTTGTGTATTCTTTAAATCTAAGCCAAAGAAAAATCCAGCTAATGAATAGTATGAAAGTTTAGTTTCCTGTTGAAGTTTTGAACAATACGGACTGAATTACCTAAATTCAAATGTAGGATTAAAAAGTCGTGTCTTTCAATCAGAAAATGCACAAAGCATAATTACTAAGAGCTTGTTAACAACATTTTGTTGTCTTGACACTGTTGTCATTTTCAGCATCGACAAGATTTTTAAAAATACTGTTTGTTAAAGTACAACGCTTTATGACAATTTAAATGAATTTAAAATAATCTGCCAAAGACAAAGATTTATTTTCTAATGAAAAACATCAGAATTTATTTAGTGAGACTTCAGCAGATGGCTGAAGGTTGAACCTGTTCATAGGAGGTTACCTGGTTCCACTCTGGAGATTTCAAACTTTGTCACTAAATCATTAAAACATCTTATAAAGAAGCAGTTCCCCTCTTGTTCCTAACAGAAGTAATAACTGACAGAAATCTTTAGGATAATGAAGACTAAAGCTTGGCCAAAAAACTATAAATTGGGCATCATTCATAATAAACTAAAGAATAAAAGATAAATTCTTCCAGCTGAAGGCAAATTAATAAACACAAGATCATAACTATTAACATTTTCTTTTATTCTTTTGTTTTTACTTCAATTGCACATTGCAAAATACCCTCACATATTTACCAAGTGTTAATCAGACACTACAGTGAGGCAGCCATGATGCAATGATGCAAGAAACAGAGACCTGGAAAATGCAGTCATATGTTGCTATAGTGACTCTTTTTTTTTAAAGCAGGGCTTTGAGCCAAACTCTTTCCAAAATGAAACAAACTGCATCCTTTTGTCTGTGTTTATTAGAGTTCATCACTGTGGGAGAGGTAACACCAAAAGGTGAACTGCTACAGAATAGAGTTAGACTGATGCGTTAGCCAGCCGCTATATTTTTGGAGATTTTAACGATATGTGCATGCATTCATCAATTCATTAGTGCATGAAGGAGCCATGCTTTGAGATCACATTAAGGCGCATGCATTGCTTCTCTCTCCATTTGCTATCCATTATTGATACTTTTTCTATAACATTGATTCTATATTTGACCTGTGCAAGATTCTTAATCAACATAAATATCATGTAAAATTGAGGAAGAGAAAGCAATATTGACCTAAAGTATAAAACAATCAGCAGCACATATCCTTACCAGTTACACAGATATCAAAATAATAGTTTTCAGTCTTAAAAACTGTTTGAAATATGCGAATATTAAGCTGAAATAAACTACCTGAATAATAACAAAGTGCAATTCTTTTGCATTGGCATCTTTGATGAAGCTACACAGACGAGGCAGTAGGGGCTTCTTACCTGTTGTCCTCCATAGCATGTACATGTACAGATAGCGCCCATGTAGTCCTTCTGCCACTGGCTTCCAATCTGGTACATTTTTCCGTCATCATAACAAGTTGACTCATCTTAGAAATAAAGCACAAGAAAAAGGATTAATTAAGAATTCATTTCTGGCGGGATAAAGCCAACAAT